TACATACATACATACATACATATATATACACACACAAATGTTTCAAAACTTGCATAATTTGTTTCCAACAGTCGCAACCCAGTGAGATACTGGCTTTATCACCTCAGCAGTTCTGGAGAATTTTACCTCCAGTTCTAGGTTTATTAATCTTAAATTTATTTCAAATAAAAATTACAGAAATTAATCAGCCATTAATCCATTTGTGCTGAGCAAATACGAGTATTTTAGTGTCGGTTTCACATTTTAGCTGAGCTGTATGTGTTTTTGGGCAGTGATGGTACAGCTGACACTGTCACGAAACCACATGTCGAGAGCTGTTTGCTTCAGCTTGACTGTTTCCTGTGAAACAGAATTTTAGGGAAGCGACTTACATCAAATTTGATGCGAGAAGCAAACAAGACGCAGCGGGTTCTGTGGGTTTTCTTGAATGAGAAAGTTGCGATATTTGAACATGTAGTTAAACTTCTACATTTTTATTTTCCAGTGCAATGTTAATTTTTTTATTTGGCTGTTTGAAGGCCAAGAACTGAGCACTAAGTAGTTCCATTATACAGGGGATAAAAGGTCTGACAGCTTTTCCACTGAYATTTCCAAAACTCAGCAACTAAATTTGAACATAAATGGCTAAATAATGCTATAAATCAAAAAAGAAACATTTTTACTTTTGTTTGAGTGTAATACTAATCACTGGACAGCTAATGGTTCTTCAAAAAAAAAAAGAAAAAGAAAGAGCTACAGAATTAAACAAAACTATTTAGCATTTAAAAACAGAGACAATTGAAAACCTCTTCAGAAAACTAGTAATTTCCCCTACGGTACAGCAAATTCCCTGAAACTCAAACGTAGTAAGCAGTGAAACCCCAAAACCCCACACAGGGGCAGTCCCCACTGTCAACCAAGAGCACATTTGACATCTGAAATGTTCCCCATCATCATTTGTGCTGGTTTCCTTGCACACTACACACCGCTGACTTGCTTATGCTCCAAAACCTGTTTTAGCCCTGGAGATCAATGATTGTAAGATGAGCAGGGTGGAGCTTAACAGACTGTGTTCACTTCCTGAGCAGCTGCCTTGAAAATCCCTTCTCTGGTGTTTTAACTCATTTCTGCATTTGCCTTTATGAAACAAATAAAAAAAAGTTAAAGCTTCTCATTAGCATGTAAGATTAACTGAACAGCTAATACAATGACATATCTACTCACAAAAAAAGTCACCTCTAAGTGGCCATTTGTTGTAATAACTATGCTAATTTGTCTGTCTGGAAGTTTTGAACTATATTTAGCTTAATGACAAATTAGCATACTGTGCTGCACTGAGGTTCAAAATAAACCTGTATAGTATTAAACTGCACCAGGCTCAAACATTAATACCTCATTTATAACTGTAGCACACCAGTTCTAATAAAAATTATCTTATTTAGTCAAAAGTGCAAAAACAACTTTTTATTTAGACACACAAATGATTGTTTTTGCTCTCAGGATTTGATAAGAAATAATATGCATTACTGCTTCGTTAAGAAAAGTAAACTTAACATAAATGTTGAAATCCACTTCTACTCTTGAGAATGTGTCACAATGAACCACCTCCCTGCATTCTGTCCTCAAACGTCTGCGCATACAGAAGCATGAATGTTGCTCCTGGCTTCAAGTCGTCTGCCAAGTGATTAAATATAAAAGCAGACCATTTTCTTGTAAAAACTAAAGTCACCTTTTAGCCCTTGAAGAAACCTTTATGTAACCAAAATCCCTACAATCTGCAAGGATATCCATGTCTGGTGCTGCATTGTTGGCACTAGATGGCATCAGACCCCTCTGCAGTCCACATGAATCTGCAGCATGGATTTCTCTGTGCTGTGCAGGGTTTCAATTATAAAAAGAAAATGGGATACTTCCTGTGAGACTAATTCAGCTCTGAACCTTATAAAATCGCCCAAAAAAATGTGACACTTTCTGCTCCCACTGAGCGAATGAATGAACGAATGAATGAATGAATGAATGGGATGTTTGAAATCCCAGCTCTTACCAGCAGATCTCGTGCTGTGATGGAGTTGTCTGTGTACATGCAGAGTTTCTCTGCTGATATGGGCCTGCAGTCCTTTAACTTGGAGGCCAGGAACATGCACACGGCTGCCAGAAGCTGCAAATAACTTTTTCTTGTGGGCATCACTGCTAAAACTCTATCCAAATAATTRATGGCTAAAGGGAAAACGTCTTCATTACTGTTCTCCTCCTCACACACCTGAAAACACAGACAGTTAAAAGTAGTTTAGTTCCACAAAATAAAAGTTTTAAGGCAGAACAATGCGATTTTTTTTGCACGCAAAATAAAGGGGTTACTTTGCTTTAAATGTGACGATTCATAAAAGATTCAACACTTGAATTATTTACGACTCTTTAAACAACAAAAGATTTTAAAAAATCACCTCAGAGCAGAAACAAATTAGTTCAATAGGAAGTCGTTCTGCACCCCCCACCCCCCCTCGCCTTTCAAATCCTCTTCCTCGTTGGGCTCTGCCTCATGTTTAAGCAATGCATTAAACATGTTTAAAACTTTCAGAAAAGTGTGAAAAATCTTGTCGAGTCGTTTCCGACAGTCGCTAAACAATAAAAAAGTTTATCTGTCGAGGATTCCTGTTTAAAACCGAAAGCACTTTTCTCTGCAGCACGTTGCCCTGAGTCTTGAGCTTTGGTCACTTTCAAAAATTAATTAAAATTATTGGGAGTGAAAAAACGTCAGGTTTTTTATCACGTAAATTAAGAACAGCTCGTCTGCTGTCGTTTGCGCTAACTAATTAGCAAAACAAATCGAACACTTTAGCTGTAAAACAATGTAAATAACTAGCTAGGTTCATTGAATTTTAGCCTCAGAAATTTCCGATGCCCCCACGCCTTTAGTGAGTCAATCTCATACAATTGAAAACCACCAGAACTCTTTTTTTTAATTAAAGCACACTTTTAAATCCACGTTTAGCCCGAAGCAACAGTAAAACAATAAAATGTGTATTAGCTGAAGCAGTTAGCTAATAAATGCACAAGTTGCCACAAACCTCATGCATCCACCCCGCAACCATTCGTCTCATATAAGGTTGAATATCCTTCTGAACACGCTGAAAATATGAGCATTGTGGTAAAAATCTATCCTCAATTGTTAATAAACTTGGCAACACTCTATCATCATAAAGGATGTTTGGGTCACGCTGGGCTTTCACGGTTATGTCCGACTCCAGGCAATAAAGCTCCATGGCTCGGGCAGCTTCTTCCGCCAATTTCCCTACTTATTTTGCTACTAAATTTAAAAAAAAAAGTTATTAAAAATATTTTTGTTACGACAGCCTCGGAAGCGGACAGAGGGAGCAGAAGTCCCCAGGAAGAAGCATGAGGCTGAGACGAGACTTGCTCCAGTCGCTCCTTCTCCTGCTCCGTCTGCCTGATGAAGCTGCCGAAGCGGAAGGAACATCCGGTCAAAACTAAAAGGACTTTTCAAATTAAGAGCCGCGGTGTTAACATGACTTCCGGTCCCATGATCCAACTAAATTATTTATACTGAAGTTGTTTTCGTTGTCTGTGGGTGATAAAGATGAGATGTTTGGTTGCTAAACTCAACTCATTATATAAGTAAATAAATAAATAAATAAATAAATAAATAAATAAATAAATTCATTAATTGATAAATATGGCATGATAAAACAAAAACTGAGCTGAGAGTTGAAGACATATGAATAAAATATTTGCAAATAAAGTAAAATGTAATAAATTTCATTAAATTTATTTAGAACCAGAACAATGTCAGAGAGAGCTGAGTTGTACAAATACTCATATTGACATGAAACATCCAAATATGGTTAGCGTTGGAGATGTTATTGCAGTACCTGACTTAAGTTGCTCCTTCTTGGCCGAACATGATGTTTATAACAACAGTTAAGCCAGGATGCTCTAAAAAAAACTTAGCTAATCCTGCTTTCTTCTCTTAATAAAGCTAACCATGCAATACAATGGGTTCACAACTGTTATTAATACACTGGCCTTTCATAGAATGATGTTTCAAGACATCCACATAAACATAAAAACATAGTTTAAGGCAACATTGTTTTAAATATGAAACAGAAGCAGCAGAAAATTTAAATCTCACAAAGCACAAACCATTTATTGTTTACAATACAATATAATATGCAGTTTATTATAAATCAGCACTTTGCACAATGAAATTAAAAGTTTAATTTGGGCCAGAAATACATTATCAACTTATTTACTTTCCAGTGGCAGAGATAACAAGATGTCTCTTTGTGTTTAGCTTAAATATTTAAGGAGAATTAATAAATCTGTTTAAAATGGCGTGTTTTTCTTTATATTTTTCTTTTAACCTCAAATTTAAAAGTCCGTAACATAGAATCAGAGATGTGCCATCTTGTACAATATATTCTCTTTTGCTGGTTCCAGTGCCTCCACATGAGCAGCAGTCCACAGGACACAGTGTGATGTTGCTGACATCCTTGTGTCTATGGGTGTGGACAGCATGTTGATCTGTTTCCAAAGAAAAGTTTTCCATAAAGGAAGTCCTTTGGCACGGCGGCAGGCACAAGGATAGGCCTGCAAAGCTGCACGGATAGATGTCTAAAAGCATTTCTGCAAATATAATAAGAATATAATAGAAGAGGAAGTCACGAAGGCCATTTCAGTCCCACAAAAGCYACATCATCATAAAAAACATTGCAAAACACACATGCACACACGTTTCTTTTTCTTAGCCTAAACTTAACACCTTTGATCAAACAACTTTTAAAAGAGGCTCGTTGCTCTGGGGCAGGCCTTGGTGGTTCTGGGGATGTTTTCTGGTGGCTGCATGCGGGCCCTCACGTAGTCTGTCTGTATCGGCAGTCACGGGTCACTGATCCGGTAGCCTGGCAGTCCTGGGGTGGGTCCGGGGTGGGCGCTGAGGGCTTGGGGTTCTGGGGACGTGCCGCCCCTGGGCTGTGGCCCTGGTGAGGCTGGGGTGGCTTGGGCTCTGGGCCGGTGTGTGCCCTGGTGCCCAGCTCTATGCTGGGGAACTTCGGTGCGCTGATGGGCTGTGGTTCTTGTGGGCTGGGGGGTTGGGTTGGCTAGGGGCGTGGCACGTGACCAGTGGGAGGGGGTGAGTCGACCCAGCCTGGGTGTCTGTGTGCTATATGTTCTGAGAGTAGTCCAAACGTTGGGGTGGGAGTAGTGTGTCTTCTGGGGTGAGGAATGGGTAGGTGTTGGTGTTTGTTGGTGGCTGGGGGCCATGCTGGGTCGGCTGGTTGGCTCCAATGTTGTGGCGGAAGCCCCATCTCAGTGCCCCATTGCTCTGTCGGCGGTTGAGTGGGCGCTCTCGGCCAAATCGTCCTTGCTGGGGTTCAGTGGCCTCTTTGGGCGGCGGGCTGACTGTGGGGCTGGGGGTCGATTCTTGTGGGTCTTGGTGGCTCTGAAGTGGATGGACGGTTGGTCCCAGTTTCTGGTGGCCCTCTGGGCTCTGTCCGTCCCTGGTCTGTGGTTCCGTGGGCCTGGCAGTCTCTCCGGAGAGAGAGGTATTTGGGCCACACTTCCTGGGTGAGTTTCGGGGAA